GCAAAACTGAAAGTCTGTATGTATCTTCCCATGGACCCAACAAACTTTCATACCAAATTTGGTGATGATCCATAAACAGGGGTCAAAGTAGTGGAAGCAAATGCAAAAATGGGCATAAAAACCACAAAACTGAAAGTTTGTATATATCTCCCCATGGACACAATGAACCTCCATACCAAATTTAGTGAAAATCCCATATACAGGGAGCAAAGTAGTGGTAAAAAATGCCCATAAAAACCACAAAATGCAAAACTGAAAATTTGTATGTACCCCTTCATGGACCTAATGAGCCTGCAAACCAATTTTGGTGAAGATCCATCCACACCTTGGAAAGAAGTCACATGGATGGCTGGATATATATATAACAGAGAGTACTATCATATTTATATAGATATATACTGAACATTTTTTATGAAAGCCTACATAGACAAAAGAACTAGAGTTAACTTTTATGAAATCATGTTAATTCAAATTTTAGTATTGTACATTAGTTAATTTCTTAACTTTAAAGTAAATATTAAAAAACACAGCTAAATATCAATTTTTGTGTGTCACGTGGTATGATGAATGCAGCACTGGTTCAAATTAGATATTTGTGACGTCAAAATATAAAATCTACAGTTTCATATGAACTAGGAACTCAAACTTCCAATGTTGACAAGCTATAATATCCAATAAGAATCTCTTATCTTTTCTATTTGCCAAGATATCGCTCAGGTACTAAATCAAAAACAGTGGCTGCTCACCCACTTCTTTCCACTTTTGAAAACGGTCCCTTATATACAGTTACTTTTATATATGACCTGAATAACCAATCGAAAGCTTAGATTGTCTCCCTAGTGGTTTTCTCAGCCATTTTGATATGTTATTCTGTTAATTGAATTTATTTCACACAAGATTTCAAACGATGAGGTAAGTCTTTAGTGAGCTTGAAATTTCATATTTTTGTAGACCCAAATATAGCTTAGTTACTACGCTTGGTAAATTATAGTGGAATTCTATGGTATCAATACAGTAATTTATGATTTTAAAATGCATATATTAAACATAAAAAATTTTTCTTTTCACATCCTTCAATGGTCACTTTGTTATATATTATTTGATATACGGTAACATGAGTGCACGTGCTCTGCATCATTGTAAATTCTGTATTGTTAGCCACGCATGGTTGGAAGGTCAATATAAAATAACTAATAAATATATAATGTTATGAGATTTAAGCTATTTGCACTAAACATTTGTGTTTTTGTGTTATAATCTGTAGTCATTCTAGAATGAAAAATGCATAATTTATATTTTTTCCTAATTTTTTTTATTGAGGTTACGAAGTCAGTCAAATCAAACCAACCTATACAGAAATACAGTAGTGAAAATAACAAATAAAGGTTTTCTAAAAAAATTTGATAATTACCTGGAGATTATAAAGATTTTGCATGTGAAATTTGAAAATGTTTTAATGCATTAAAGTATTTTTAATCTTAAAATCAAAATTGTTTTGCATGTTGTATAGTCAACATTCTGAAAGAAAAAGGTTTATGAGAAAATCTTTAATTAAAAAATCTTAATACTTAATTTAAAAACCTGATATTTTGTGTACAAAAACCTTGTAATGTTTACCAATAACCTGCAAAAGTTTGTATAGATATGCATATCTTATCAAAAATCATAGTATAATTACCCCTCATGGATACTTTTGTGAAAGGGTTAAGTCTTAGCAATATCTACAAGTTTGTAAAAAAGCTCAGAAAGGAGAAGAAATATTATCTAAATTATGCAATTCAGAACAAACAAGTGTCATGTAATTACAGAAATGTGAAAATTGAGAATTTATCTAAATATTTCCTTTTGAAATTAAAACTTTTATTACATTAAAATTTGATTTATTAACCATTTTTCAAGGCCAAGTTTATTGACATACATTGATAATAAAGTAGTTTAGTTAAATTTTAAATGCAATTCTGTAAAAAAAGGTGGTCACATGTACACTATTTTTTTTTTTATTTACCTCTATCCAGAGGGTTATATATTCTTCACTTTGTATATTGTCTTAATGATGAAAAGTCAAAATACTAATGAGTATAATACAAGGTCACTTCGGTACAATATTAAATACCCATAACTTTCTAAATCCACTTAACAATAGGTAGCCACACAATCACTTGGGTTTTCATGTCAGTATTAAAAATATTGTTAATTCTGTAAATCAGTTTAACAAGGAGAATCCATATAAAAAAATGTCAATACGAGAGACATATTTCAAGTAGTAATTAGTCTCACCTTCCTAAGCCAGCTACACAGTGTACAGCCACACAGCTATCTGTGTCTTCTCTGAATCTAGTTTTCAATAAGTTAAACCAGTCTTCTACTATTTTAGCTGGTGGAGGTGAGCCATCATCAAACTGCCAATCCTAAGGGAAAAAAAAAAAATTTATCAAATTCTTAATATTATATATAATGGAAAAAATACAACATATTGTCATCTAAATGCCTGTCCTGTTGATACTGATTATAAAGTAAATAGTCCTTTCATTTACCTTCAGTAATCATTTATTCTCTTAAGAGTTTCAATTGTCAAATTGTTTTTAGCCCTTAAAATGCCAAGAGTTTCTATAGTCAATTTTTTTTTACCTTTAACAGTCAACCTGTTTTCTAAAGCTTTGACAGCTAGCCTTTATTTTAGTATCAACAATCAAGTATTAGAGCTTCGACAACCAATCTGTTTCACGGTCATTTATATTTTTAAAGCTTCATGAGTTAATCTTTCTTTTAGAGCTTCTGTAGAGCTTCAAGAACATTTTGGATATTATTAATACCCACTATTCTCTTCTAAAATTCCAATAGTCAATCTTATATACTAATCTTCAATATCAAACATTGTTACTTTTACCAACAAAAAATTTTTGTGATGATAGAAATCATCCTTCTTTTTAGGACTCCAGCACTTTTTCAACATTTATAAAATTAAGCTAAGGTTTCCTAATGTAATATTTTCAAATGCTCATTCACTTTCTAAGTAATAAGTGTTGGGAAGGGGATATAAAAAAAAATATATTTAGCATATAAAGTTTGGTTAGGGCAACATATAGTAATATGGAGATATATATATAAATATACATCAAATTGTGTATTCTGTAAATATTTCAGTGTCTTAAAGGTTTAACTACAAGATATTTAGCAACACCTAAATTAAGAATTAGCTGAATTCTGTGGTATATGTAACATAAAGATGAAAACAATATGATTAATAAATAAAGTTGTAGTTATAATAAAAATATACATAATACAATAAATTATTTAAACTCAAAATTCATGCATCACAAAATTATATACATTACCACAAAACAAAACAAACAAAAAAGGAATGACTCAAAAATATATGCAATGCAATAAATAACTAGTGAACTTACAGTAACTGTTAATTAATGGAATTCAAGCAAAAAGTATGATAAAATGAAGTCAGGTACACATTGCATAATAATATACATCATATACGTAACTTACGTAACTTACGTCATGAAGATGTATGGGTGTGAAAAAACAATTGAATAAATTGTTACCTATGACTGTAGTTACATTTTCAGGTGTATTGCATAAAGTACAGAAGGTCAAATACATGGAAACAAATTACAATTAAAGCTTGATCAGGTAAGAACATTTACAACAATGTTGAATAGAGTTGTTTAAACTTCTGTTTAACAACAAGTAAAACTGTGGAATGGTCTATTCTTTCATTGGGGGTGTGTCTGTGAGCCAGAGAATTCCACTCCTTATCAACGAGCCTGGAAACTACCACCAATGAGATATCAGACCAAACCAAGCCTTTGGAGTAGTGAGGTATCGATTTACAACAATGTTTATTTGAACCAAAGGTTAGAACTTACCGAGATTTCATAAATGTAGAATTTATCTCAGTAATTCAGTCATTAGAATAACATAATAAACAACAAAAATAACACTTTGTGTTAAAATAGCTAAATTAAAAATACAATGTATATTGCCAACTAATTTTTGTTTACTTCATAAAAGTTTGTAGTGAGTCACAGGTAATAAAAAAATGAACATGAAGTACCACTGTCACTTGTTAGCTCACTTAACATTTTAGCTGTATATGGGAAAAAAAAAGTACATTAACATTAATAAATACAGCATCCAACATGTACACAAATGCCCAGCAAATTTCCTCTTTCACATGGGAAATGCCTTAACTAGGAAATTACTTGACATTAAAAGCAAATTTAATAATGAAAAGTTTTAATTTAAAATTTTCACCTGATCAAGTTTAATAATAAGAGTAAATTTAGCCTTTACCTCTGAATACAAGTTTATCCTCAATGCACAGACAGAGTGCAATATCTACACATTTCTCAAATTTGGCACTGAATGAGCAAGAAGAAGAAATAAACAACAGGTAGCTCCACCCCTGCTGGACCGCGATGGTTAATAAACAACAGGTAGCTCCACCCCTGCTGGACCGCAATGGTTAATAAACAACAGGTAGCTCCACCCCTGCTGGACCGCAATGGTTAATAAACAACAGGTAGCTCCACCCCTGCTGGACCGACCGCGATGGTTAATAAACAATAAGTAGCTCTGCCTCTGCTGGAACATGATATTTGTGTATTTTAACTTTTCTTCCAAAGCCTGAAATTGTAATTTATTCAGGAGTGGATGAACAAAAAATAAAGATTATTAGAAGTAGTATGACTGTTTTTAGGATCATTATGAATAGTCAGTATGCAAGGTGTAGCAGCTGATTATAGACGGTATGAAAGAAAAAAAAAAAAGGAAAAATAATATATTGAAGTTACTTTGAGTGTGACTTTACCACTGGGATTATTTTTATATATGTATAACTAAGATTCAAGATCTCCAATGTAGTCCTGCTTGGAATAAAAAAAGCAAACACTTTGTACTGTATGTGGTACTGATTAATAATCTTCAGGTCTCTTGAACAACTATGCAAGAAAACAATAAATCAATAAATTTATTTCGATTTGGAACTAATCTTGGCCTTTATGCACAACTAAATCGACCAAGTATTAATCTTTCAGAGTTTCACCAATAAGTTCATGCCCTACAAGCACAACTATGACAGAAAACCCTTAGTTACACACACATTATAACAAATAAATTGGTTTAATTCCAGTTTGATCTATAAGGACATCCTTTATGCCCAATATGGACCATTGATTTGCCAATTTAGCAAGATTACTAAAAAGAAACAATAAGATTTCACTGAACTATTTATCACTATGATAATTTCAATAATTAACATCAATACTCAGAATTAAACAACTGACCACGTATTGCACAAATACATAAAACAAGGAAGAAAAGCTATGCTAACTAAATTATGTAGAATCATCTTGTCTGTAAGCCCACACTCAACACTTTATTTGATTAAGTTTCAAAACAAAGATATTACTGTTTAAAATTTTAGTTATATTAACTATTCACCTTGAACAACTAAGAGCCAACTTTTGTATCAAATGGATAAAAATTTAAAGAACCTATTTCTATTTTTGTTGGATATGAGGAATATTTTTCAAGTACTGTAGTTGTACACTCTTACAATTAATGCCTTATAACAAATAGCTCAAATATGATTTCTTGAAATGGCCACAACTCTGTAGAAAATTTTCGGCTTTTAAAGTAAGTAAACTGAAATATAAAGGTCAAAGTGCATTAAAATTTTTTTGTTTGTTTAGGATATTAATATGAGTATACCTTAGGCCCAACCCTATAAAATCTAATGCAATTTTGCCAAAAATTTAAAATGTTAACTGCACATTATATCACTCACAGCTACTTGAAAACATCTGAAATTTAGAAACTTTAAACAAAATGTATGGAGACTGAAGTTTTCTTGGGAATGTGCAATTGTAATTTACACAGTTTGAGAGTTCTTTGACATAAGTTGAACTACAGGATGACTTGAGCACATTAAATGGCCACATGCCTAACATTAACATTTATAATATGGAGTAATACAGTTCAATAATGGAAAATGAGCACTATAGACCACATTATATTACAAATTAACTTAATTCAACTTACGTGTACATTAATGTCCTCTTGTTCCAACAAATCAGTTTTATAGGTGGCTTCACAAACTCTCACGACATCCTTAACATTGTGCTTCTTCAACTCCTGTAACAAAACAGAAACCTAATGAGGTAAGGAATACTTAACACTTTTCAAAATCCTTCCCACATCTTAAAAACATTAACCTTTTTTATATTTAATAATGAAAGAATTAGCCCATTTTACGAAGGTTTACCGACATGTGAAGATATATTCTGTATAGTTTTAGGCCAGTGGCAATCTTGATGCAATGTTATGTCTTATTTTAAAACTTAACTGAATATTCCGATATTAATGGAAAATTAAGTTACCTGTAAATTCAAAGCACAAAAAAGTAAGAATTTGGAAATATTTGTAACTTACTTTCTTGAAAAAATTAATATTCAATGATGAGCAGAAACTAGTCAAAGCATGAACTTCATCTTACAAGAAACATTTTAAGTCACAAACAGTCAAAGATTCAAAAGAATTTTATTTCAGAGCCTGCAAAATTAAAACAGCAGCTGCTCTATCCAGAAAATGGTGGAGACCAGGAAAACTAATTACATTTTAAGATTTGAGCAATTCTATTGCAGACTGGCATGTCAAGCAGATAAAGAGCCACTCCTACTTCTTGATAAGAGAAAAGCCAAGCAGTGTAGACAGTTTGCCTCATATGTTTTGTGTGTGATTACTGTTGAGCTCCGAGGGGCTAACAAATTTATTTACCTTATTTGTAGCTTAGTTATAAAGTCAGTTAATTTACAGTGGTTTTGGGGCTTCGTGTTATAGTGCCCAATATATATGTTTTGTGTTCTAAAATGGTGAAAGATTGAGACCTATCTCAATTATGATTTACACTCACAAATATCATGTCAGTTACTTACTTCGGTTTTGATATTTAAAACACATGCTAATTACCTCCTGCTGTGGTTATTATTTTTGACAAGACAATTAGTGCTCAAGTAGGTTCTAAGTACAACAATAAGACCATAAATTTATAAAAAAAACAGATGTGAGAAAATTAACAGTTGAAATTTAAGAAATATGCATCAAATAAAATATGAAGTTTTATAAAAAAAAATGCAAGTGAAATGTGAAAACTGTAAAAAGAAAAAAAAAATTGTTTTTATGCTTAATATGAAAATCATATGCATTCAGACTAGTTTTTTTATATACAACAGACTTGCAATGCTTATTACAAACTTTCCAAATTGTGAAGACATGTATACTAAATTCAGAATTGTAGTAAATATTACTATGTATAGCTTCATACACACAACAGTCGGTCCAATGGACTGATGCCATGCATAGAGTGTTAATGTGGTTAAAAATATCTAAATCATGTCTTTTAACTCCAAGTTTAACATATATTGAACAAGCTTTCGACTCCTCTTAAAGAGCCATTTCAGTCTAACTGATATATAATAAGAAAAATACTGGAGATAAAAACCCAACTGAGTTATAACTTGTTAACATTAATTTCCCATGTAGTATGTTGATTCAGATGAAATGTGGTTCTTCATAAAAGTCAGATAACTAGACTAACTAAAGAGATGAGAAGATCAGTAATAATATCAAACAGGATCAAAGATACTACTTAGAAGCACATGCACACCTCACTGTAAAAAGGATAATATGTTTCAGTATATCTAAACATTTATAAACACAACTTAGTTCAGATAAGTTCAACATGATTAACTTGTATATGTTTTACATATTTCAGTTATTAGCCTTCACTTTTAATGGTAATGTTTATCTTAAAAGAGACAGAACAATGCAGCCTGATCATAACACAAAAATATAAATAACAGACAACAGTCATTATAACAAGATATCTTGAATGAATGGATCAAACAGATATGAAACAAACAGATATATAGAGAAATATGAAATGATGCAACACCAAATTGTGGATACTTATGTACATGTAAAAGAAAGATAGGAAAAAAAATTATGTTCTTCCCACAGGAAATAGTTTTATCGACACAAACAGTTTAAGTACTAAGCATAGATAAGGAAAAACACTGTAAACTAAACTCTAATTGCTGAGGTTACTATCTTTCTTTACAAATGACAGTCAAAAATGTTTTAGTTTAGTACTGCATGTGTAAGTGTGAATATTGCAAAGTTGAAACAATTTGTAGCTATTTCATACATCAGAAATTTATAGTTCATTTCTGATGTTTTTCACATATTTTGGAAGCAACAAACACTATATAATGTGTTTGACTGAAGAGTATAATTAGTGCAATAATGGCCAGTGAGAGGGATCTGGTATTATATCAAGAAGAAACGGGAGAACTTCAAAGTGATCAGTAAGGATAATGTTTGAAGAAACAATATTACATGAATGAAGAAGCATTTTACAAAGTGCAAAAGTAGGCATAACAAATCTTTAAGATTATGTCACTGCAGCTGGGATCTAAGCAGTGTAACAGAATGTCCAAAGTCTTTAGGGCACAGACTCTAAACCTTCTAGATATATGAAGGACTGTGGGTTGAGGGGTGTAATTAAACAAAAACTTGTTTTAATCCAGTCTTTACAGCAGTTAATAAAAAACAGCACACCAATCTCTGTGAATGTAATGCTAGCATAAGAAATAATTTGCATAAACCTTTTTTGTTTAATGTACACTGATACGGTACTCAGACAGATCCAAGTGATTTACTGAAATTTAAGGTTAAAGATACTGACATATGAATGCTCCTATAGGCTCTACAGTAAAATTTCTGGTCACAACCAAATGCTTTTCATATATTGTGCACATTTGTTGAACTAATCTGCAACCATGGATCTAAGTAGGCCTAATTTGTTATATGAATTTTAATTATGTATGACCTAACTTAAACATGTAATGGTTTATTGATTCTTCTTCTTATAAGTGTACATATTTTGAAGTAAAATAGTTTAAACCAATTATAAGTAACATGGAAGACTGCCACCGTACCACTGAATGTTTTGAAAAGTTCTAGCATAAATGTATTAACAAAAATATAAAAAAATTACTTGGCTAATTTTAATGAAATTTCAGTACATTATTCCTCAAAAACAAATAACAGTTAAGTATCCAAACCCATTGAAGTACTTTTAGCACATCCAAAATGGAAAACAATTTAGTTTTACTTAACCATGTCTACGGATGGACAGATTTAAAACCAATTTTGAATATGAATTGTTTATATGGCATTCCCTATATTGCATCATATTGAGTAAGTTATATCTTTTTGTCTGTTACTATACTTAGTGAAAAGAACTGAACACAAAATATGGTGAAATCAGTCTACACAAAATGGATAGGAATACCCAGAAGTAGTTAGTGGATTAACTGCCAATGGTATTTTTTTGTGACTCATAGAAGTAGGGTTCTACTGATTTTCATATTGGTATTGGTGCTGATAGTGGTACTGTTGGAAAATAATGGTATCAGCAATTCTGACTACCATGGATACAGACAGCAGAAATTTTGAAAAATATTAACCAAATGTACATGAGGTTGAATTATTTGATTGAATCCATGTTGGAGAAGAAATGTTGACTATACTTCCAAATTTGCTATGTGTATTTACACAGAATGAGGCAAGCTTTTAATGAAATAAACAAGTTTGTTGTACACAAAAAATCAGATGTGTTATAAAAGCATTTGTACTCAAGATGTGTTTGTGAATTGAAATCAGTCTGACTCAGACCGTGACATGTTAGAGTGCAAAGTAAAGTTCATGTGAAGAATAAAGATACTTTTGTCCATCATACATTTGACTTTGCATAACTTCTACAACCTATCAAATGCATATCAGTTTTTTCAGCATCCCTGAATATTGTACCTTGTAAATACTCTTCTCTAGCTTGACCCGTTACTAGATCAGCAATGTGGATTAAAACAGTTGATAACTGATATCAAATACATAATACCATGTTGAAAGGTACTCTGCACACATTGATCCCCAATGTGAATAGGGTTAATTTTTTTTTCATGTTGCTGGAAGTATCTGATTTTACAAGGTTATGAAAAATTGTAAATTTTAAAAGGAGGGTAAATATGGGTCTTCAAAAATTACAGAAACAAGATAGATAGCTTAAAGTGAAAATGCAATTGCAAAAAAGTAAACAAACAAGATTAAAGTTTAAGACATAGTATTGACATTATTTCCACAAGCATCCCTATTTTGACTCTTAATATATATGGAGCTATATATACTACACACACACACACACACTCCATAACTGTAAATTTGGTTGACCCTAACAGTCGG